AATGTCTGTATTTAGCTATCTTTGGTTTTATTAAAATGTTGAACTATGTTAATATGTTACAATTTTCACGAGTTGTTTTTTATTGATTTTTTTTTTTTTTTTTTGTGAATAATTATAGATCGATTTATATTCGTTTGTGAACTCTTAATATATTTTATCTAAGAGTATATCAGGAATAATTATAAATTGGACAACCGAACAACTCAACCCAAAAATAGAGGGTTGGGTTGGGTTGTGAAAATTTTCAGTTTGGGTTGAGTTAACCCAAACTTTTGGGTTGGGTAAAAAAAAATCTCTCAACCCAATCCAACCCGGACCATGTACACCCCTAGTGAGTGCTAGCCCGACCAGCAAGCCCATGGGTGTGCGAGCCTGCCTGGTAGGTCCACGTTCGCACGCGTGGACTGTTGGATCGGTATGGCAACCCTAGAGGGGGGGTGAATAGGGTTTTAACGATAAAAGTGTTTAAACTTGATTAATTTTTCTAATGATAAAACTTTTTACAAATAAGTAGAAGATGATAATTACTAAAACAAAATAATTCAAGTCAAAACAATAATCAAGTAGAACATGCAATAAACATAATAATAATCTTGAAATTGAATAGGAAAGAGTTAGAGAGAATGACACCGTAGTTTTATAGTGGTTCGGTCAAACTCGACCTACTCCACTCCCCAAGCGCCTCTTGGGAATTTGAATAAATAACTTTTCCGACTCTTTCCACGGATCAGAGCCAAACCGGTACACCGCTCTTTTTACGAGTTCAAGAGCAAACTCAATCCTTTCAACGACTCAGGATCAAACCGATACAAGTATTTGAGTTTGATAATAACACACCACAACTCTCTCAAAGAGTAGATTTACAATTTGGGATACTGACAACTATTTCCTCACAATATAATAATAATCCCTCTCAAGAATAAGATGAAAAGAAATAAACTTGTAAGCTTGGAGAGAGCAATAAACAATGGAGACTTTGAACAAATGAGGATTGAAGAATGTATGTAAGTTGTATATATAAAAATGTGGGGAAGATGAGTTTATATAGAGGAGAAAAGTGGCAAAATGTAGGATTGAATATTGACCATTGGATTGTGTTAGGAATAATGGAAGGTGGAGATTAAAAGTAATTAAGTAAGAAAATTTTCTAAATTCATTTATTTCAAAATTTTAATATAATAGTAATATAATATAATAATAATAAAAAGTTATGTGAGTAACGGTAAAATGTAATTCAAAATTTATTATAAATATAATAATATAATAATAATAAAAATGATGTGAGTAACTACCAAAATTTTAAAATATAATAATATAATAATATAATATAGTAATAATAAAATTCGATGTGAGTAACGGTTATATTCAAATTTATATTTGTAAAAACAATTTTTATTTAGAAATGTAATAATAAGAAAAACTCCACCATGTGTTACTCTTCCAATATTATAAATGTCATACTTTGATATATTTTGATTTGTCCATCATTTTGATTTTGTTGCCACATCATCACGTCGGGTATGTTGTCTCGACTCTAATTTCTTCGTTTTAGCTCTGATTTGAGTAATTGAAAAGTTGTTGTAATCGTTATTCCCGACCTTATACTGTGGACAGTTCAAAAAACTGAAAATAGTTAATAATTAAAAGTAGGTTTGTTATCATCAAAACATCAATAATTAATTCATTGAAATTAATTAATGTGAGATCAAGGGCCAATAAGCCAACATGGACTGTGTGTAGAGAGATACTACATCTCTAGTGTAGCCGAGAATGAAATGGTATTTTTAATGATAGGTCCTACTATGCTACATGTGTTTGCATTTCACGACTCCTAAGAGAACGAAATGATGTTTTCATTTATAAGTCCTACCATGTTACCTGTGTTTGCATTTCATGACCCCAATAGTGGGTCACTTACTGAGTATTTCTCAAAATACTTCATTCACGTGCTACTCTTACATTTGAGGTAAAAGAAAGACACCCCTATACGAATGATGAAGATGACGTGTGAAGACCAGGGAATCAGTGTAAGGGTAGTTGTTGTTTTCTAGTTTTTGGATATATTATTCATTCTCGTTTCTTATATGTTTTAGGATTCATTTAAGGGTTTTATTTTAACATGTAAGTCTATGACATCATTTATAAACTTTTTAAAATGAATGTTTTTACATAAAAAGAATACATCATACATATGGTAGCATCTCTATTTCAATAGTAAAATAGGGTCGTTACAAAAATAGTGTTCCTAACTTATATATCCATGATCTTTCCCTTAATTAGTGAATGTGGGACTCCAATCATTCTCAATAATTATAGTTGAACTTCAACCATTCTCAATAATCCTAGTCGCCCAAGTAATTTGTTTGAGTACATAAGCTTATAGCTGATGAATAAGCCATTCAATTCTCACATATACATTTGCAATTAATTTGCATCTATTTTAAAAACTAAAATTTGAAAAATCAAATAACAAACCAATGAGATTTAAAAAAATTAAAAAAACGTTGGAGGCTAATAAAGAACATTATGTTGAAGGTAACAAATTGAAAAGTCTTCCCTTTGAAATTCTTAAAATGTAGGCTTTTTTACCACCTTGAAAAAAGAACATTTAAAGTATCTAAAACCAACACCGTCTTAAACTGTCATTTCAGCTCCAAACATAATGACCAACACATCTAAATCTTAGTTGTTTCTTAATAACTTAAGAAATTAAGAAAGAGAAAATAAAGGAAAAATAAAGTACCTATTTGTTTGTTTCCTTTCAAGTTGAGACGTTACTTTAGAAATGCGAGATTGTCTTTTCATTTTAAGTTTCAACCAATTTTTATTTATGGTAAATTAGATTTGAACTATTCAATAAGATTTGATCAAATTAAATTGTGACTAGCTAAATTTAAAACAAAGTTTCAAATCTTCTAAATCTTTCATCTTGGAAGTAATCAAATTCTAACGTTATCTTTTGGTTGGTCCAAATTTTGTATAAGGAGGTGTTAATTTCTTTTATTCAAGGGTTCTCGCTTCAACAAAAGCTTGGATCCTTGGATTAAGGATTAGGGTTGCCTTATCATATACCACAAGTTACGCATGAAGCCTTGGATACAGGTTCAAACTGAGTCGATTGGGACGTATGAAACCTTGTACGTAGGTCTTTAGGTTTATGTCTTGTATCGTAAATACTTGTAACACCCCAAAGTAAGGTTAAAAGTAATCCAAAGAAACCAAGGAAATGAATCAAGGCATTTAAACAAAGACGTATTATACTCTAAAAAGTAATTTTAAGGATTTAAGACGTTTGAAAAATGATGGTAAAGGAAAAGGAAACCAAAAGACGAAAAATGACAATTTTTCAATTTTTAAAGAATTTTTCTAGATTTTTAATTCCTTATCTAGAAGAAATTTCAAGATACTGAACACGAGTAAGAAAAAAAAAATCTTTTAGAAAAATTTTGGATTTTTTGAAAAAAAAATTAATAAAATATTCTAAAAAGAGCAAATTATCAAAATACCCCTTAAATATGATAATTACAAAAAGCCCATTCTTCCAAGAATTAGAATTTGTACGGTGACCAATCTATCAAATCTCAAAACTAGCAGTTGGATTTCATCTAAAATTGTACACCATCTTGAACATTCACAAATTATCACATCTAACTGTCATAATTCAAATTAGAAATCGGTAACTCACTTATCAGAGAGGATATTTCCGTTAGATTATCTAAAAAATTCAATCTTCAAATCACGACGATTCTAGAGGTTTCAACGTCGGTGGAAACTTCCCTTCTAAAGTCTAAAGTTTGGGCAATAGTATAGAACAAGAATCGAGCAAGGTCGAGCTCCCAATCACAAGTTATAAGCGTTTGCATTTTGAGCCTCCTACTTTCGGATTTCTTCCAAATTTGAGAGTAATTCTCCAACATTTTCTTTCAAACTTGTTCTTCTACCGTTTCTAAACAAGATTATTCACATTCTATGAAAAAATTGAGTGTTAAAAGTGCCTAGAAACTATTCTCCTAAAGTCCATAAACCCTTAGGTTGAACCAAAATAATTTCATCCCCATTTTATTTTCTTTGTGGAGAATTCTTTTGAAACTCTCATTCTCGGATTCCGATTCCTTTAAGATTTTCTTTCAAAGAAGTTCCTATTAGCCTTAACCTTGTGTTCTAGTCTTAACTATAAAGACTTTGTCAAGAAATTTATATGCCTTGGAACACACCTAGGAGGCTTACATGAGAAACTTCTATGTCGTGGAAATACACTTAAGCGCTTGCATCCAACGATTTCAACAAAGGTAGAGTTCTTACTCTTAGATTAAGTACTTTATATTTTAATTCTTAATAAAACAAAACGGTTTCCAATGCTTCCGCGGTAAGGATGAAAAGTTTTTCCACTTCAAGTGGGACAATATGGTGTCTACTGAATCTAAACATCATCCATGGACGGCGACCCTATGTGTCAACCAGCTACTGGATAAACCTATTTGGTCTCATGCTCCCTCTTAGAAAAATGTTTACTGCTCAATGGCCCTATTTAGGAAACCGTTGATCACATGGTTGGGGTATGCACTACCCTAATCGACCTATGCCTATCTAGATAGAATTTGTACCAAAGTGGAATGGATGGTAGAGACTGACAACACCGTTCATATTTGTATTATCCCGTATATAAAGAAATTAAAAAAAAAAAAAAAAAAAAAAACATGTGAAACTTCCTATTTATTTTTGCAAAAATATCTAGTCTGTAAATAAAGAAATTGAAAAAAAAAAGAAAAGAAAAAAAGAAAAAAAGAAAAAACCATGTGAGATTTCCTATTAATTTTTTGCAAAGATTAGAACGAGAATTCCCTACCCTAATTTTTTTTCTCGTTTTTAAAGTTTTCAATAAAAAAAAAAAAGTATAATTGGACTAGAAATCCTACTTTATAAATAATATTTTTTAATATACATTGAAAGTATATCTATACTAATTAGGACAAGGAATTGACAAGACATAGACGAACAATATAATCTTGTCTCCGAACTTATTTATCTAATGTAGAAAAACGCTCTCCACTCACTCCTTCATAAGTGTCACCAAGAACACCAAGGGGCGCGATGACTTCAAACAATATTCAACCACTCCTATCTACTCAACATTTCTACATTTGGATGCAACAAATTGAGATACATCACTGGTCAATAAAAATGGTAAACGAAGCTGCATACATTCCTTGCGTATATACATGAAATGTCAATGGATGGTCAAAATTTCAGCTCCCCTTCTAGTTATCAAAATAGTGTGCTCAAACTGAGCAGCTGGACTACCATCAGCTGTTAAAGTGGTCCAGTTGTCTGGCCATGTTATGCAGTCAATGCCTCCCATCGTAAGAATTGGTTCTGCAGTGAACAAATTAAAACTACCAATATGAAAGTGAAATAAAATGGTCGGTTTGGAGGGTATGTATGCTCAATTAAGTGCCATAAAAGAGAGAACAACAAAAATTCCTCTATTTGCAAGTTTGAACTTTTACATGTACCATCTTCCTAGCTTCATAATCATAACTACTAATGAATTTCCCCACATGAATTCGCTTTCTTACCCTCACTTACTCTACCCTTCTGTGCACAGTGGTTTCTCCTTCCAATTAGTTTCTTCACACACAAGAAAGTGCATACATCTTAGAGAAGAAAATAGAGCATAAGTTTCGAGACAAAAGGGTTTCAGTGTCTTAGGAAGATTGAAAATGAAAGAACTCGGGTTTAGATGGACCGGACCAATTTTTGGTTCATCACAGCCAATAACTGACCATGTCACAAGCTTTAAAAGATAGATCTACGTCAAAGGTGGAATATCAAGACAAGCAGGAACTGACAGAGGGAATAACAATGTGTCCAGCGAAAGGAATTAATTTTGAGTACGGAGTCCCTATTCTTATGTGCGTATATGTTTAACTAATTTTAATATCATTTGGACAGTATTTTGGAGAGGGGGTGTGATATGATAATCCTAGCCAATTGGATCAACCCTCAATAAATGTATTGGATATGCAAACCCCAAAATCACAATTTTTTTTTTTTTCATTCCAAAGGATTGCCAACTCTTGAAAATTTGATCTAACAATCTTAGGAAAGTATAAGAAGAATAATACTATTAGATCCAAAATATCCAAGAACTTCAAAACGATAACAAATCACCCTAAGGAAAAGTAAAGTCTAGATTACCTTGTTGATGAAATCACTCCAAGAATTTTTTTTTGAGATTCAAATCATTCCGCAAGTAAGATCGATCATGTCAAGCTTAAATGATTCTAAACATGTAACCTAAACTATATAAAATTGCAGAGAAACTTAGTCCTTGCCTAAAAAAATAATAATAAAAGGCACAAATACTCCTTTTACTCCATTTTTCAAGTCTACTTTACAAAGATAACATATATGGTTTTATATAGCCTCAAAATAAAACCCTTAACCTTCCCTGAGACATTTCAAGAATGGTAACTTTCATACTTTATGACTATAATTAGCTAAATATAACTTTTAAAGTACATCTAGCTTCAATTTCTAAATGGCTGCGGAGATTCTCCAAGAGCAAACTAGTTTGCCACGCTGCATTACTGAGAGCATGGAACTCGTGTCCACAGGGGGTTTACTTATTATTGCAGATTTAGCAGCTCGAGATATCCCATGATTTCACATTACCAAGTGCAGGAACTTGTTTAGATTGCAGAATAAATTTCTAGAAGGATACTTAGAGAGCTGGACTAGTCTTCCACATACTCTTATCCTTGTTTATCAAGCGGATGCTCTGGAATGGGCTATATGTTTCTCATGTTTTATTTGGACATACAGACCTCCAAACATACAATTTCTTCTTTTTCGTTTCTAAATAATCGAAATATTTTGGATGAATCTAACCTCATGCTTGATATGAAAATCCTAGCAAGTTGAATCTAAGAATTCTCATAAGTTCAAGATATCCAAACGCTTAGTTCACTAATGCAAAAATCCCCGAATCAATTTGATTTCATTTCAAATGATTGCAAGAATTTGATCTAACTAACCTTATTGAAGAATAAGACCTTCAAACCTAAATATATCCAAGAACCTCCATCACCCTAAGGGAAAGTAAGACCCGAATTATGTTATTGATCGAATATCTCAAGACAAAAATGCTTATTTGAGATTCGAATCACTCTAAACATGCAACCTAAACTATATAGAATTGCAAATAAACTTAGCCTTGGCTAAAAGAAAGCACAAATGCTCTTTTTACTCTATTTTTCAAGTCTACTTTCCAAAGATAACATACATGGGATTATATAGCCTCAAAATGAAGACCTTTGACCTTCCATGAGGTATTTCAAGAGTGGTCTCACACTTTATAACCATAATTAGTCACTAGGTAAGTGTAACCTTAAAGTAAATAGTCTTAAAATACATTAATAAAACACCCTAAACTCTAAATTATCATCCATAAAAAATTTATGCTCAGTGTCAATCTTCAAGGGTGCGCCCATTCATCTTTGATGATTTTATCATTCCAATAGTTTTGGAGGATGATTTGTATGGAAAACCAAGTTTTACAGATTCAACGGGTGCTACATTTTGGGAATTTATCTAGAAATAAATCATTCTACTTTTCAGGGGATGAATGTGCCGATGACAAAAGTTAAGACGATTTTTATCAGAAAGATGGTTTCTTTGCTAATCTATTTTTAGTAATTACTCTTTCAATATTCAAACCAAAGAGGGGAATTTCTTCCCTTGGATTTTCTAAGGAAGACTGACCAGTCTTCCCTTTCTTCCATATTTGACCCCATAACGACGACTTCATTTCTTTTAAAACGAAAAATAAAGGAAAAGGAAATTTCCTTCGTGCAAATGATGTCGTAAAATCTATATCAGTTTTATTCAATATTTTTCCTCTACCTTGAACCAATAATATATGCCACATTACTTGGACAAATTTTTACTAAATTTATTACAAACATCAGATGTACAATGCATTCAATTTGTTAATTTCCAGCCCAACGAAAAATTGATTTTTCTCCCTTTATCCTAAATAATTCAATGCAGTGCCTAGGAACAACAAATTTACCCTTCTATCAAACGAATAAAATAAATTTTCAATTAGATGCTAAAGGTAAGCGTTAGCAACAGATTCTAAAGTTGCATTTACACTAAAAGGCAATATTGGATTTTAGAGCAACAAGGGTCGACTACTCACCAATTGTAAAAGTTTGACCTTCGACCATATGTCCAGGTTCCTCATTGCCTGGCCATACCGAATAACAATGAGTTACAAAAAAAACAGACTATCATTTAGGTAAGATGCAAGCAAAAGGATCCCCCAAAAAGAAGAGAGGACCACTTACGGTGGTGATATATAAGTGGTTCAGAGTGAAATACAGATCCCACACCATGCCCAACAAAACGCTCCACCACCCCAAAGCCATATTTTTCAGCATGCTCACTGGTAATTGTGCATAGTAGATCATTAGGAACAGTGTAAATTGTAGAAAAATATCAATCTTTCAACGTAGCTCAGATAAAATTAACTAATGGCACATATACATCTTAGTATAGAATTTTGGAACATTAGAATTTTTGTGGTCATTTTTTGAAATTCCTACTCAGTTCTTTTTCTATGAATACTCTCCCTGTGATGTGAAAATTAAAAGGTGGTTTGTTATTTCTTTGTCTTGGAAATTTCCTGTTCTATACTTCATCATTTTACTAAAAGTACCCTATAAAAGAGCCTGTGTGTTTAGGATTCCTATCTCTGTTAGTACCCATAAAACAAATTGAGAATATATGAAATACCTGATTCTCTTCCCAATTTTCTTAAAACTAGCACCATCCTTGCATACAGCAATACCTCTCTCGAGACATTCCTCTGTAACCTGAAACACCAAAAGAATATAAACAATAAAGGGGAAAAAGAAAAGAAATACCATAAAATAGAATACTAGGATAAGTATAGAACTGACATATGTACAGAAGATTGTTTCAGAAAAAGAGAGAAAGAAAGAAAGAAAGAAAGAAAGAAAGAAACTACGACACAAGATATGAACAAGTTAGTCAAAGAAAATCTTTTCTTTTTTCATTTTTTCTTTATCTATTTTACATGAAACAGAGATATAATCAATAAGGAGCATCCTAGGAGGCTGGGGTGAGGGGGCACAAAAGCTATAAAGAAAGGCAAATGATAAGCCTAGCAAAGAAGTCGTAAAGGTCGGTAATTGACAAACTATGAACAACCTTCACTATAAAGTCATTCATTATAAAATAACTTATTCTGAATTTTTTTTTTAAAAAAAGTACCTTCACTAGACGCCTCATTCCGTCACTTACATCTCCACAAAAATATGTCTTCGATGTGTCTCCATGATATCCCTAACATTTAAGGGGGGGAAGTTAGCCATCTCAGGAGAGAACTAACACATACGTACTGCATGTCAACTAACAAAAAGTCAATGAATTGGGGCAGGTCTCGCATAGAATTGTGCATACAAATTTTTTAACGCAAGGAAATTTTCTGGGAACGTGATACAATATGATTGGGAGATTTAACCCTAACTTGTACCGTACTTCATTTTGAAGTCCAACATATCAGGTTGCTATCCCTAGGAGGTGAAAGCAAGTTTTGCTCTGAGTATATACATGATACCCTCTTATATTCATTTAGACTGGAACAATTACATCAATGTAAGAGAAACTATTTTTCAAGTTGAATACAACCTTTTGTCATTAAAAATGATACTCATAAAAAATTAAATTAAATCCATGATTCCACATTTTCCCTTCAACATTTAAAACCCCTTCTTGCATATAGGCCGTTCCTTGAAGATATTCTATGTAACTGGGACCCAAACATTTGATGAACAAATTTAACTTCAAGGATGAACAATTTTGTTTTAAGACATGTCCAAGGGTAAAAACTTATATCAGCGAGATGGTTTCAAACTTGCAAGATAAAATCAAAATCAGATCCAAAAAATAAAATCTATTAATTCCTAGAGGGGCAATTTTCTAAATTATGCGCTGACATGTGTTGTTTTTGATCTCAGGCTCAGGATCATAATTTCATACACTTCTTCGTGACATCAACGATAAGCTAAAACTGAAAAGGCTTTCCCCTGCACACAAACCTTATTACTAAAGCTAGAAGTAGTGACAAGAATCAAACTTTTACCATCATTCCTTCGATGTTAATTAAACATTATTCTGAAAATCTTATTTATCAATGTGAGAAATTTCTTAATCCCAGATTTGAATCTCTTTGCTTGGTTTGGTTTGAAGGAAAACCCACTCAGGTTCATGTTTTTATTTTGTTTTGGAATTATGGCGACTAAACAGTAGAGAAGTGGCTTGCATGAGGAGAATTTTTATTTCTTTTCTGGTAATGCTTCCACCAAAGCTTCTTTCAGTGGGTTAATAGTTCTTGCAAAGCTGAAGAGCTTTTCAAGGAGTCATGTGCAAAAATAGCTGAAGTTTAGGAGTTTGAGGGAATCAATCTATTTGGTTACCTTGTGGTTGGTTTTGAAAGGTTTGTTTGTTGGCTGGTGATCTGTTTTTTGTTTTCTTTGAAAGGGTTAAAGTAGCTATCGATTTTCAGTGTTTGGTGGAGGCCTTATTCATAGTTTCATCATTCATTCGCAAGTTGATAGCACTCATTATGAGTTATCCTTAGGTCTGGCTTTATGTTAATTTTGAGGTTGAAATGATGAGTTTCACGAGTATATTTGTCTATTTCTATAGGAACAAACTTAAGTGTTTGTGGAGAAAGCTGAACTAATTGGAAATGATTTGGAGCTTTAAAATTGAGAGAAGTCCTGCAGGCCGAACTCCGGAGAGGATAGCAATGAGACGCCCTCCCGAGAATGTTAAAGTCAAGCTAATCTATCCGCACATGTGGTGTTGAGACACTACAAACCAGCTTCCGTCAATTAAAAACGTGCATGCGCATGGTTTCAAATTTTCTTCTGTAGCATTGAGATACTCCTTTGGGTGAGTATCTCAACACTACGATTTGGGATCATGGAAATTAAGAAAAATTGGGACAGCATCAAAGAGGCTGCTCCTAGCGTCTAGACAATGCGGTAAGTTTGCCTATATATTCAACATTTTTCAGCCGATTTTGGGAGATCCTTTTTGGAGAGAAAAATCCCTTAATCAATTTCTACTCAATGTTGAGGGCTAGAAGACATTTTCATCATGTTCATAATAAATATATAAAAGCATACAACATGTTCATCATGCTCATTAAGTGATAATAATCCAACCTCAGGATACTAGAAAGCATAGAAGGCTAATGATCTACCAAAATTCGCAATCATGCATGTGGAAGCTATATAACTGTAAATAGAACCAAGTGGTAAACTCTTCACTTTATCTAAGCACAATTATCACGAGACTATGTCAAACTAGACTCCTAAGCATAATACTCAATCATTGCCCTCGATCCTAATTGACTCCTACAAGTATTTCTTAGAAACTTGCTCCATATGGTTACTTACTTGATTGTAGACTTCCTGAGCTTGTTTCGAGTCTTCGAGGATATTTCAAATTTCTTCAAATTTCCTCAATATGCCCTAACCGTTGACTGTACGGTCATCTTTTCCAACTTGCGCGCTTGCCATCCTACTTTGCTTCTCTCTCTCTCTTTTTTTTTTTTTTTTTTGGGAAAAAAGTTTATTTTCGGGTTGTTACAAGCAATGACATGCGAGACGAGCAGATTCAACCTCGTCTACGATGAATTGCTAAGGATTAAACTTCTTCACTTTGATAGCCAAGGCAATGGGATGTGCATGTACTTGAGAGGAAGAGTGATTGAGATGACAATTCAATCGTGCAGAGAAAGACGGATAGTGAGACACGTTATTCTAGCGAAGGCTTGTCTTTGGAAGGAAGGTAAGTCCAATGATGATGGCAGCTAGGGTTTGAAGAAATTCAAGGCTCTGATACCATGAAGATGTACGACAGAAAGGTATTTCTTATGCATTGAGTGATGAGGAAATCTTTACATTTATAAAAGAGATTTCTCAAATCAAAGAACTAGAATTAAGTAGTCAATCTAAACTTACTTGGAAATAAAATATACACCAAATATACAAGGAAACATTCTTAACAATTCCTAATTCATAGAATATACAAAGGCACAATCTTAGCAATTCTTAATCCACAGCTGAATCAATTAAGCTTGATTTTTTACGATAGTTATGAACTTGCAACTTCTTGGCTTATTGGCTTATGGTGTTTTTATTTTGTTCAGGCCATCGGTGCTTAATTAACTAAAACGATAGTTCAATTGATGAAATTAACTCCCTATGTTTTCTCCTCTTGAAGTTTTCCATTATTTATTAGTTATTTAGTTCCTTCATTCTCGCCAATTCTAGCTTCTCTTATAAATTTGGAGTAGTTATGTCATCAATCATGTGGAATGTGGACTCTAAATCACTGTACTAAAACTTGACACTGTACACTTGCAGTTTTGCATGTTAAAAATATCACACAAGTTCTCTTTGCCTTTCAAATGAAGATATTGGAGAAGTTCTTGGTTCTTAAATATTTATGGCTAATCTCTACAACATTGTTTTTTTTTTCTTTTTCTTTTTCACTCCCTAAGAGTTCGTATCCCTTGAACATTTACTCATTTTAATTTTATGAATGAGAAATTGTTTCTTGCTAAAAGAAAAAAAAAACAACCGAAGTGACATTTTCATCATTACAATTTTTACTCTCCTTTATTTTTCCTCATTTATGAATTGGGAGGAACCATAGCTTCCAGAATATAGGTTTGCAGAATGTAGAGTAAACTAAATCAAACATTTAAGTAGATTCCAGAACAAAGAGGTGCAAAAACTTAAAAAGAGCACTGCCGCTATTGCGACAATGTTATATGTACGACAATAAGCAGGAAACATATATGGAGATGGACGAAAATTTAGAATGAGAAACAATTAAGAACATACATTTAGGTAGACCGTCACATCAATGTTTATTATATCACCATTCTGCACAAAAGAGTAACTGTTAGTAAAAACATGAAGTTTTTGTAACTATTTGATAAACAAAAAATGGAACCTGTAATTGACGAGAGTCTGGTATTCCGTGACACATGCACTCATTAACTGATGTGCAAACACTCTTTGGAAATCCCCCGTAGCCAAGAGGTGATGGATAAGCACCAGCATCAATAATCATCTGATGCACTGCTTTGTCAATTTCATTTGTTGTTACTGACGGCTGAAACAAAAATATTGTGCCAAGAGAACTCAAAATGTCATTTATCATTTAACATCCACATCATCCTAATATGATGTCAAAAAAAAAATTAAATCAGAAACAATTGAACACTATGAACAACCAGGGTTCCCATACCAATGTACTAGATGATAAAGCAACTGATATTGAATGTAGAAGCCAAAAACATACCCTAACTAGAGTTCCAGCATAGTCTAACACACGAGCGGCAAGCTGACATGCAGCCCTCATTTGAGCAATTCCTTCAGAATCATGCATTTGATACTCACTTGAAATTTCTGGCAGTATAGAAGAACCAACATAAGGAGGTTTTTGAATGTGTTCAGGGACAGGGAGACGTGGAGATACTTTCCCACGCCTCAATGGTGGTATCTTTCTAACTTTTCTCACAGTTTCAAGCTTTTGCTCTCTACATCATAAAATAAATAAACTATATAGGTAGCTACAATGAAATAATATGCAAATTACAATAAAAGCAATGAGCTTCAAGAAATGACATCGTCATCGCAATTTTTATTCATAATAAAAGGACCTGGGTAGCCACATAATGCACCTATAATTGAACTGTGATTAGGCATACTAAGACTGCTTCTTTAAATAAAATCAACAAATTTAAGAAAAATAGGACAAGAAAGTATGAATACACTATTTTTAGTAGCAGTGGTATCAGACACATTCAACAGTCAACACGAAGGCGTATGTGAACATGCAAGAAACAACTTAACTGAACTATCGGCAATTCATTGCAGGATTCTCAAAACACAGAGGTCCCTTAACTGAACTACTGAAGGAAGACAACAAGTGAAATTGAAGGTTTTAAGCGTCCTTTGATAACTTGAAGAAAGCCATGATGGAAGGGCTAGTGCTAGGAATCGCCAATGTACTGTGCGACCCTTTGAGGTCGAGACAGATGCCTCAAATCTTGCTCTAGGGGTGTCTTACTGCAAGACAGACACCCCATAGCATACGAGAGCAGAAAACTAAATGGCAGAGAGGAAATATGCCATCTCTGAGAAATAGATGTTACCTCCTTCGAGAAACAGTATCTCCTTGGAGAAACAGTACCTCCTTGGGGTCAAGTTCCTTGTCAAGACAGACAATAGTCCCATATGTCATTTGTTCAACCAACCTAAGTTGTCTTCTTAATCGGCTCTTGGCAAGATCATGTGGCAGAATTTGACTTCTAGTTCGAGCATAAATCTAGGTGAGCAAACTAGGCCTGCCCTAAGCCGAAAGTATGAACATGCAGCCCTGTGCATGTTGACTCACTTACAAGCCAGTAAGTTATGCGGGACAATGCAAGATGACATCAAGGAACATTTACTCAAGGACACAGCCACCCAAGCCATGATGTCATTATCTAGAGAGGGAAAACCCCGTCAGTTTTAGGTTGAGAATGACTTACTCCAAACCAAAGGCAACGGAATATATGTCCCTAAGTTAAGGTAACTTGAGAAGACTTCTACAGAAAGAATGTAATGACACCCCATGGGCAGTGGGTGGCAGCGAACCTACACCCTACTTAAACAGCGGTATTACTGGCTTAATCTTTGAGATGAAGTTATGCGATTCACAAAAACATATCTTATTTGCCAACAAGATAAAGTCAAAAGAACCAAGATTGCAGAACTGTTGGAGACCCTTCCAGTCCCATCACGACCGTGGGAAAGTTCTCTCGACTTCATCACTCACTTCCACAAAGTTGGGGAATTTGAGTCAATCCTCGTGATTGTTGACAAATTTTCGAAGTACATCACACTCACTGTGACCCCGGTCATGTCCCCCTGAGATGATAGCCTAATTGTTTTTCAAAAATGTTGTCAAGCTATGAGGTGCGCCGACGAGCATCATAAGCGATGAAGATGGACAATTCACTGGAACATTCTAGACAGAATTGTTTAAGTTGTTGGATCAAATTTAAATATTTCTTCAAGCTATCACCCCAAATAGATGGACATATCGAAAAGTTCAACTGTATTCTTGAAGAATTTTTGCGTCACTTAATCGAGAAATAGAGGACTTCATTCAGTAACTCCGCGATCGCCCTCTAAACGATGCACAATAAAAATAAAAATAAAAAAAGGGCCCCAAATGTTTGATATTGTGCAGTTTGGCTTCAACTGCCAACAAAGTTTCTCGACTCGAAAGACCCCCTTTGAGGTAGTGTGGGGAGACAAGTCATATGCCTCGTGTCATTGACTATATGCTGGAAAGAGCATGCAAGCCTATAATTTCACCAAAGAGTGGAAACAAACTTTTGAAGTAGCATGCGCTTACTAAGAAAGAACATCTTGATAGAGGAAGAAACGGGCATAATCAAAACGCATGCCACTAGAATTCTAAGCTAGTGACCAAGTTCTGATCAAGATGACGTTAATCTTCGAGAATTAAATAAGCGTATTACTGGCTTAATCTTCGAGATGATATTATGCAATTCACGAAAACATATCTTATTTGCAAACGAGATAAAGTCGAAAAACCAAGATTGCAGGACTGTTGGAGCCCCTTGCAGTCCCATCACAACTGTGGGAAAGTGCTCTTGACTTCATCACTCGCTTCCCCAAAGTTGGGGAACTTGAGTCAATCCTCGTGATTGCTGACAAATTTTTGAAGTACGTTACACTCACTGCGACCCCCAGGTCGTGTCCCGCTGAGATGATAGCTCAACTATTTTTCAAAAATGTTGTCAACCTATGAGGTGTGCCGACGAGATTCATCAACGATCAAGATGGACGATTCACTAGAACCTTCTAGACAAAATTGTGTAAGTTGTTGGATCAAATTTAAATATTTCTTTAAGATATCACCCCATATAGATGGACATACCGAAAAGTTCAACAGTATTCTTGAAGAATTTTTGTGTCACTTCATCGAGAAAAATTAGGCCCAAATGTTTGATATTGTGCAATTTCAGCTTCAACGGCCAACAAAGTTTCTCGACCGGAAAGACGCCCTTTGAGGTAGTGCATGAGACAGTCATTCATGTCTCATGTCATTGACCACCCATATGTTGGAAAGAGCATGCAAGCCTATAACTTCACCAAAGAGTGGAAACAAACTTCTGAAGTAACATGCGCTTACTTAGAAAGAGCATCTTAACAGATGAAGAAACGGGCATAATCAAAACACATGCCACTAGAATTCTAAGCTAGTGACCAAGTTCAGATCAAGCTGTGACCAATACAATTTCGATTCCAGTACAACAGGGATCAACGACTTGTGCGAAAAATATGAGGGTCTAGTCAAAGTCATTGAGAAGGTTAGCAAGACCTTATATAGGCTTCAATTACCTTCATGGATGAAAATTCATCATACTATCTGTGTGAGTAATTTGAAACCATATCATTCTGATGAGGAAGACCACAAGCACAATAAAACGACACGACCTTCGATCACGATGAAGAATCCTATTGAGAAGGAAGTAGACGAGATGTTGGCCGAGCGAATGCGTCGAGTCAACAATCCGCAACAAAATGTATAAGAATTCTTGGTAAAGTAGAAGGAACTCCATGATGCTAAGATTAGTGGGGAACGTGTTGAAGACTTGAAATTTGCCACAAGTCACATTGTTGAGTTCAAGAGAAGACGATTGATAGGGACGTCAACCAATTATGTGGGGGAAGATGTCATGGTCATGTTTGTCCAAGGCGTGTTTCCCATGGCCACATGTCCACTTCTTGCAAAAGTGATGTCTACTCTTGTGAAAGCTAATATGTCTCAAAATGTACTATAGGGAGATGCGAGTAGTCGTCAATTCTTCTTACTCAAGTCATATGTTATCAATGTCGTTGTTTTCCCTTATTTGCTTGCTAACATAAAACACAGCTTTCTAAAATTTCTTTCAAAACGTTTTCCGAAATCTCTTTACCCATGTTTTTTCATAGCGGAGCTAAAGGCTTGAGTATACTTCGCCTGTGCGAACGGTGACCTAAATTTGAGTTGGTTGACTTACTCATTGATGGGAGTGAGCGTCGCACAATCACTTTGCAAGGTCCATGGAAAGTGCGATCGTGAAACTTACTAAGTATTTTAATACTCATTCCTACTCTTCTATGTTTACAAACGGATCATAAACAACTGCTTGACGGTGCGAGCATGCAGAGTTTAAATGTCTGGCATAAAAACTTTAACATCATCATAGGCTAAGAAGCATAAAAACTTTAGTTTGACTAGTATCTAGTGTGATCGTGTCTGACAAGTGTTAGACACTTTCACACTCCCACACTTTTTGCACATGTACACTTGTTAGCACAATCAATGTATAAGACACTAGTTGTACAAAATCACTATAAGTTCAACATTTGTCAAACATGTATTGAACATTTGTTAAATATACTAAAACACATAGTAATACAGGACAAAAATAATAAATTTTGAACGCAAAACAGATTAAACTCACTTTAAAGCATATAAATGCATAAATAAATTTATTGACTATGAATTTTTTTTTTAAGGTATAAAATGATCAATATTTTAAAACATACATATTTTAATCAATATCGTGTTTGTGACCTAGATTTTTTTTTTTTTTCAAGAAATCTATCTTCATGTCTGTGTCGTGTCATGTGTATGTCGTATCCGAACTTTCTCAAAATCAATCTTGAAGACTTCCATCCTTTTTTTCCCTCTTATAGTTCTCAAAACTTTCATTAGCAATCAACATTTGATCTATGATTTTCCTACCAACAATAAAGCTCATTGAGAATTGAAAATGGTACTAGGAAGAATAGTAGCAAGCACACATATCTCTCATTCATAGTAGCAACAATGACCCCCTCCCCCCCCCCCCCCCCC